CCGCTGCGCAGCAAAAAACCGGGTGTATACGCGGAATACCCGGGTACGTTTATCAATGCCCATTCTTTAAATCATGCTGGTTGTTGAACTATGACCTCTTAGTACTGATTAATGAAGAATTTTATTTTTGAATAATTGACTGGTTTCCAATTGTGGATTTGTCATATTTGATACCCCCTAATAAACATAATTTTTCATTCATTTTTATCTTAAAAGAAGTTTATATCATTTTAATCTATGTTAATAAATTGAATTGCTGCTTCTCATACGATTCTACTTCTTTTTCTAACCATGTACAAGACATGAAGTGTGGTATAATCATGTTTTGTGCCTGATACATTCAAAGTTGAAAATGAGTGTCTTTTATAGCTGGAAAGCAAAATGAATATATTCAATTGGAAGTTCACCCAACTTCTATAAATCCAGAACCAGTGAAAATTTGCTACCTCATGCCAGAAAAAAACCATAAACACACAGATCACCTCACAATCCAGAGGCCCCTCACTGCTAAGTCATCTTCCCACTCATCCAGTGTCATTATCACTTAACAGTAACTCACCTAACATCTTCTCTTTCATTTTTAACCTCATTTGTTGGTTCATAAACCATCCCTGCTGCTCACCTGTTTCTTTCCCCTAGCTTCTTTCCTCCTTTTTTTTATGTGGGTTTTGTCAATAAACAAACCACACAGTCAAAGATCCATGGGAAACTCCCTAAATAATCTGTAACTGGTCCCTTAAAAGCTTGAGTTATTACCAGAACCCTCTGTTGATTCTTTCAGAGTAGGCTAGTCCATCACAGATTTTCTCAATTCTTATCCCTCAAAAATCATACTGGCTTTAATCTTAATTATAATCCTGTGCTCAGCTCCTCAGGAATGTAGAGTCATAAACATATTTTTTTCTTTCTTACAGCCTTTTTAACTATTTTTGTATCTATTATTCAGAAATGAAACCTTAATACAACAAAACAACTTGTTTCCTGCTTTCACTTTAGATAATGTGCTCACAAAGGCTATCTCATAGATTTTTCAAAGATAAGTTGGAATGTCTCAATGTTTTGATAAAGCTCTTTCAAGATTGTGTTACAAAATTAATGATGTTAATCAGAAGGAGGGGAATCAAAATTAGAAGAAGTTTCAGGGATGGTCTCTCAGTGAATATCTCTGGATTTATTATTTGAAATATTGTGATCCACAGTGTCTCAAAAATATATTGGCCTGTGTGAAACTTGTTTCTGTGAGCTTATGTATCCAAATGAGATCAAGCTATACTGTCAAAAATCAGCATCCAGCCACAGACTTGGTAGCCTAGTTGGTAAAGGCAGCACTTCTAGTATAGTCTTAGTTTCTCTAAGGTTTCTGGTTTGAATCCTGCCCAATTCAATATTTCTTGCTAAATTTCTGAAGAATGCATTAGTTTTCTAGATGATTTTTTCTATTTAATAGTTTTTTTTTCCTCCACAGCTTTGTATAGGCTCTAAATTTTCCAGGTAGTAAATGTAGTAAAACCTCTGTCTACAAAGGTCCTATCAATATTACATGTAGTTTCTGAAAGAAGGTAGTCAAGCAAGAAGATAGTTTGGGGATATTGAGAGTGAAATTACTATCTTACAAATAATTTCACTTGGCGGGAAAATGTTGAAAATTTGTGTAGTTGAGTTTGATGTGGAAAATATCCATGAGAAGGTTTGGATAGAATTATGAGATTCTAATCTTTAAACTCTGATTCTAACCATCTTTTGTGAAAGTTAAACTCTGATTCTAACCATCTTTTGTGAAAGTTCATGTCCAATCTGTAATTCAAGTACCTTTCTACAGGACTTTCACAAATATTTTTTTAGATTATGTGCCATACTGCTTAACAGTAAGACTAGTGGCAGGATGAAAAAAAGAATTAATCCCTTTAATGAAGAATTAACAATTAAATTTGAATGGTACTTAGAAAAAAGATCCCCAATTTTTGGTCAATCAACTCTCACAATGCTGCTTACGTCAATTTTGGGAGTTGTCTGACAAATTCCTTTCTGCTCCAGCGGAGCTGTCGCACTGAAACTACCAAGAGCTTCCCAGAATAACAAAAAATTCAACAAAATTATATTTCATGTAATACAAGCCCCAACACCAAATAAAAATTGAGTGAATTTTAAAGGTCCCAAAATGCCTCCTTCCTCCATTTTTCAGGTTGATTCAAAAATTGACAAAGGAGTTATACACACAATTACTAATTTTCTGAGTAAATGATTCACATAGCTTTTGAATGAGTACCCCAATGGCCTCAAAATTTTCAAACATTGACTATGACCCCTTCATTGCAATGAAAAAATCTGGCCTCATAGAATGTAATAAACTGATCATAGATGTGTACATGTGTTTTTAACACATATATTCTGTATAATTTCTCCCAAGCTCCAAGAACTTTAGAACAAAGACTTTACTGGTTGATTTTAATTATTTATTTTGTATGGAGCAGTTGTTCTCATACTCAAGAATCTATTCCAAGTTGGATACAGAACAATCAACCTGTACACTACACAAGTCATCAAATTTATCTACAACATGCAATCACAGTTGGCATCCTGGCCAACACAAGAGGAAGAAGTAGAATTATCTCAGGTCATACAAGAAGAAGGCCTTCCTGGCTGTGGATGGGACAGTGATTCCACTTAGTCAAAATTGCCCCATAGAGGACAATCACTAATTTGATTGCAAGAAGAGGTCAGGTGTCATTTCTTTTTCCTTGATAAGCAATTCTGAGATAAATCTTGACTACTTCCCTCATCCCATTGTCTACAGATACTCAATTTCACTTAATCTTGTTTGTGATGTCAACAAGAAATTGACATCCTATCTAGACAGTTATCCAGGATCATGCCATGATAGCTATGTATTCTCAATCATGCGTATTTCTCAGCAGCCTGAAAACCTTTTTGATCAAAATCAGTTTCTTCTGGAAGACTCAGCTTATACAAGTGATTGGTTTACTCTCCCAGCTTATAAGGGGAAGGAATTAATTGACCTCAGAATTTCAATTTCAATTACCATCTTGCACAGTCATGATTAAGGATCAAACATGCCATTGGTATTCTGAAAGGTCCATTTTCCAGCTTGCATGAAATGCGGACTTAAATAAGAAATTACAAAGAGATGAAGGACACCATCAAGTGGATAATCAGCTGTGTTGTTCTCCATAATCTTCTGGAGGATCTGAAGGATCAATAGAATGAGCTTTATGAAGAAGATGAGCATGATTCAGCCCCAGTGGCTG